TCCCTGTTCTAGGATCTGAGCTCTCTCTTCTCTGAATTCAACTAAGGCACGAGGAACTAGGGGGGAGATAGCTATCAGATCCATGTCTTAGTAGTGGTAAACAATTGTGTAGGTCAATTTTTGACTCTGATCTTGAACTACAGGGTTGCAATGTTTTGGCATCAACACTTGTAAGAAAAAAAAAAGCAGGAGAATGAAGATTATATTAAAAAAAGATGGTCTTAGTAGTGGTAAACAAGCATATAATCCCTCCCAGGTAGTAACAATAACTTTATGGAGGGGATGGTTAAGCAATGCTACAAAAAGATTCCATGATGAAATTAAAGTTACACAAACTAATCAAGGCGAGGCTGCATCCTTTTTTGAGAAACAGCACAACAAAAACAGTTTCAGTTCTTTCTGTAGCAATGACAAACATCCTGATGATTTTGTTGGTCAAGATTCATATCCAAATAATTGTACAGCTACCTACATCGCCGCCGGTGCAGTCACATGTTACGCTAGGTTAAACCAGAGGGACACTTGAGCTTGCACTAGATTGTGGTCACATGCCATGCTAGCTTAAACCAGAGACACCTGAGTTTGTGCTAAATTAATGTATGCAGCGGTTTAATTTAAACTACCTGATGCATGCAACTATCAGTATTCTACAATCTACATATGTTTGTGCGGTTGTGTTTGTGCCCATACAACTGAAGATCTGAAATCTTTTTTGTTTAGAGTACCAGCCAATTTTCTACAACTTGTTATCAGGTGTTTCAACGCCCAGCTATTTGGCCTTACGTTATATTATAGCTGCATTTCTGAAGATCTTCTGTAATTTGGTTCAGGAAATGATCTTGTCTTTGTCAATGGGTCACTGCGAAAAAAAAACTTGTTCTTTCATTTGTTACTGCTAAGAAAGATACACTGAAAACAGGTTCTCCTTTATTATGTTTTCTTTCGTTTATCAATAAGGGAAAAGATAGGATGTAGTGGTGGAGGCGGCCCGTACGGACTTGCCAGGTAAAGGCGGATGCCCTGGACCGCGGCGACTAGGTCGTTGAGGACGCCGGCCATTGCCTCCTGTGTGAACTGCTGCGGCTGCGGGGGAGGTGACGGCGGCGGCGTATGTTGGACGGGGGTCGGTGGCCGCCCGTGGCCTGGCGCGGTGCCGGGCGCCGGGAGGGTCGGCGCCGAGAGCGACGCCGTAGCGCCAGCCGAGAGCGAGGCCGTGACGCCCGGCGCGGAAGTGGCGGCGGTGGAGGAGTTGGCGGCAACGGCGGTGGTGGAGTTGATGGGCAGCGGCGGTGGTGGCGGCGGCGGAATTGGAGGTGGCGAAGACATGGTCGAAACCCGGGTACCTGATACCAAATTGGTAGGACTAGGGTTCCTACCAGCACGGCTACGTAGGTTATAGGGATGAGGTGGAGGTGGATGAGGGCTGGAGCGGGCGCGCCGGCGAGTAGGCGCCGTCGCGGCTAGGGTTTAGGGTCGGCGGCGGTTGGCTGGTGTCGGCTAGGGTTCCGGCTCCTCAGGGAGCCGGGCAACAGAAGATGATAATATCTTTATTGCTTGATCTCAAACGATGTCTTACAACTAGTATTTATAACTTTAGCCTAAGATAACTTGCCTAAAATAACTTGCCTAAGATAACTTGTGGGTCAAGCCCCTAATACTAATGCCCGGTGGGCCTCTTCCTTGTATAGACCAAACCGGTCATAACAGAGGTGCCCTTAGTTTCAGTTGTAGAATCAGTCAAAATATGCTTCTTTGTGTTTGAATGTAGAGATATATCCTCTTCTTTGTGTGAGATGACAAATATATCCTTTTCCTTTTGCAATACTTTTCTGCTGATGCTTGGA